TTCCAATCCAAAGTCATGTTGTATCCTTCTTCATATCATGCAAGTCCTTTCCGTCGTATCCAACCCTTCTCCGTATAGCAGCCAATATTCCAAATTAAGTTCGTAGACTTAGTCACTGTCCACCATGAGTTCCAAATCACTCTAAACTTTCTCCAACGCGTGTAGCTGTCCTACCACAGAACCCATTTGATACTCTGCCACTCTCCTACTTTGGTCAAACCCTATCCTTTAAGCAACTACTCGACTTTTGCTTCTCACACTTGGCCTTCTAGAAACTTAACCGCAACAAGACACCTCCCACATGTCTTTCCTCATCCTTCGCTGCCCAGTTGTTTCCTTAAATCAAAATCTATCTCTGTAGCACTTGAACCAATCGATCGCTACCAACTTTAAATCTTTCCGAAGATCATCTTTCTCGATCCATTAACACTAGAAACACCGATTCGATCCTAAACTACTGCACACCGCGATCTCTGACAACCGCTTCCCCGATACCATTTTACAATACCCTGCCCCGAAGGCGAGTTGAAGAAGACCATAACACCGGCGAACTTAATGCATTCAACAAGGATGATGACACCACATCACAGATGAAAATTCCACTATGCTCGAAAATACCAAGTCTCGTTACTCCATCAACCCAAACCTGAACAGTCTTAGTCCAAATGCCTTTCCTCCGTTGGAAATAAAACATTGAACCCTTGAATCATGCATTGAGAAAAACCTCCTTTCAAGTCATTCACTGCCCCTACACATAGACAAATATCCTACCATTACTCAAATATTGTGCGATAGCAACGCACGAATCATCATAACAATCAATGCCAAATCTCAAAATCTTAGGTAATACTGATACTGAGTTGCAATGACAGAACGACCTTCCACAAGGCGACGACAATAGCCCAATCAAATACGCAGGGAGAAACATCCTAAACCACATTTGTAGTACCATTAAAATTCCCCGATTCCCAATTTATAACAAGCACTTCATGTCGCATAAGACTGAATAGGAAGGGAATGAAGGCATAAGCCTCAAAGGAATCAAATCGCACGATGAGGAATCAAGAAGGGAAGTGCTCCTAACAGTCATGTAGCCTCTCGAAGATAAGTACAGACGTCTCTATACCGATCCGCAAGACTCTACTAGACTTGCTCATGACTCGTGAGACCTAAGTGAACCTAGTGCTCTGATACCATATTGTCACCACCCAAAATTCATTAAAGGTCGTGATGGTGTCGGACACTGCTGTCAGGCAAGACAAAAATAAACACTTAATTTGGTTCTCATTTTAATATTTTTGAAATCATATTTCCTTCAATTAAATAGTAAAAGATGGAATTTACAAAGTAAATAATAATATTTTTAACAATTTCAATATAGGACAACCAAAAATATCCCAAAATCCGGTGTCACAAGTGCATGACCCTCAACTAGGAATGTAAAATAAAATACAACATCTGTCTGGAATACAAATTCGGACAAGAGAAATATAAATACTCTGAAGGAGACTCTGCTGGTTGCGGACTTGTAACGTGAAATGCAGCTTACCTATGTCCCCGCAATAACCGCGCCTCTGTGCCCACAAGGCCACTAGACATATATGCATATGCACAAAAATATACAGTAAGTATAGTATGAGTACGTAAATCAACGTATACCCAGTAAGTATCCCGCCTAACCTCGAAGAAGTAGTGACGAGGGGTCGACTTTGACACTTACTATGGACTATAAATAAAATATCAATGATCTAATTAAGCATTGATTACGTAGAACGGTTGTAAGCTCAATAACATGAAATAAGTAAACAATATTTTTGTTCATAAGAAATTTCCAAATTTATTTTCTTCATTTAACATTTTTTGTATCTCGGGCCAATGAAAGCAATATCAATTATTATCAATTCCAAAAAACTATATCATGCGCATATCATGCCGAGGTTGTACGGCCCGATCCAACATAATATTTAAATTGTGCACTGCCGAGGGTCGAACGACACGAACTATAGATGCATCTATCTGCTACCGAGGCATTCGGCCCGCTCCACAAAAGAGAAAAACACATTAAACAACCAATTCAAGATTTATTAAGGGGCAAATATTCCAAGAATTTCAAATTTCCATTTAACTGTCAAGTAAATGAAGTTTAACCTTTTTACAATTCCTTTACCGAGTTTCTAAATGTTTTAAACAATTAAATTAACAAGTAGGGCGCAACATCGCAAGTACAACATGATATAGGTCATAAACTACCCAGACATAAGCATAATAGTAGCTACGCACGGACTTTCGTCACCTCGTACGTACGTAGCCCCCACAAATAGAAGCACATAATAATTTGATTCATCTATGGTGTTAATTCTCTCTTACAAGGTTAGAAAGGAGACTTACCTCGCTCTGAAGTTCCACAACAGGCTCCTAAGACCTTCCAACAACTCAAATCGATGACCAACGCTCCAAAACTAGTCAATAAATGTGCAAACCCATAAATATATACTCTAATACTCATTATAATTCAATTTACGACAATTTCCAACTCCGTTCGAAAAGTCGATAAAATCACCCTCGGGGCCACATACCCGGATTCCGAAAACTTTCGAAGATAAACATTACCCATAGCATCACGAACCCAAATATATAATTTATTCTCAATTCCATGCCCAAATTCGTGATCAAAATCCAAAAATATAAATTTCTAGATTTTTCTACCAAAATCCCAAATCTCTACAAATTCCATGCTTGAATCCATATAAAAACCATGTATGTAACTCAAAACTAGTAGAGATCACTTACCTCATGCTTGATGATGAAATTCCCTCTTCAAAAGCTCAAAACATCGCCCAGGCCGTGTGAAAAATGGGTGAAATGAACCCAAACCCCGTTTTAAAATCATTCTGCCCAACTCAGGTCCACCCTTCTTCGCGATAGCGGAAAGACCATCGCGATCGCGAAGGCCAAGGAAACACTGCCTCCAAATTTCCTCTTCGCGTTTGCGTCATCCTGGTCGTATTCGCGAAGGCCAGCTGCCCAGACCCCTCGCGTTCACGTTCCCTTCAATGCGTTCGCGTAGGCCAAATGGCCTTAGGCCCATCTTCCCCTTTGTTCTTCGCGTTCGCGTCACCTTGGCCGCGTTCGCAAAGGCTTGCCCAACTACCGCCTTGCATTCGCATCCACTGCCTTGCGTTCGCGAAGGCCAAATCCCAGCATCCTCAAAGTTCCTCTTCGCGAACGCGGGACTCCTTTCGCGTTCGCGGAGAAGGAAACCAGATACCAGCAACAACAGTTCCAAAACAGTTCAAATTGATCTGAAACCATCCCGAAATACATCCGAGGTCCCCGGGACCGCGTCCAATCACACCAACCAGTCCCATAACATAACACGGACCTGCTCGAGGCCTCAAATCACATCAAACATCACCAAATTCATGAATCGCACTCCAATTCAAGCTTAATGAACTTTAGAACTTTAAACTTTTACATTCGATGCCGAAACCTATCAAATCACGTCCGATTGACCTCAAATTTTACACACAAGTCATAATTGACATTACAGACCTATTTCAACTTTCGGAATCTGAATCCGACCCCGATATCAAAAAGTCCACTCCCAGTCAAACTTTTCAAAAACCTTCGAATTTGTCACTTCCGCCTAATGACCCCAAAATAATCTACGGACTTCCGAATCCACTTCGAGACGCGCTCCCATTACCAGAATCACCATTCAGAGCTATTCCCAAACTCGAAATCCCAAATGGATATCGATAACATTAAAATACACCTCAATCTAATTTTTATGAAGTTTCTTCCAAAATGCCAACTTCCACAATAGGCGCTGAAACGCTCTCGGATCATCCAAAACCCGATCCGGACATACGCCCAAGTCCAAAATCATTATACGAACCTGTTGGAACCTTCAAACCTGATTCCGAGGTCGTTTACTTACAAATCATACTTTAGTCAATTCTTCCAACTTAAAGCTTCCGAAATGAGAATTTTTTTTCTAAACCAACTCCGGATTTCCCGAAATTCAATTTCGATCACACGTACAAGTCATAATACTTGAAGTGAAGCTACTCAAGACCTCAAACCGCCGAACGACGCGCTGGATCTCAAAATGACCGGTCGGGTCGTTACATACACACNTTCATTCTATTCACAAGTCATGGGCGGATCTAGTGCAAAGGTTAGAGGTTCACATGAACCTAATAACTTTTGTGTAGACCCTTATATTTATACAAAAATATTCATTAAAAGTATAAGGATACTTAGCTTGAAATATTCAATTATCATATATATTAATTTAAAATTGTTGTAAGAACCCATAAGCTTAAAATTTTAGATCCGCCTCAAGCTAACGTCGTCTAACCTCTCTCAACAGAAAATGAAAAAAAAATACATCTCCCACTGTTGGTATCTCCTACTCCCTCTATTTCAAATTAGATGAGGTACTTTACTTTTTAGTCTGTTTCAAAATAAATGATACATTTCTAAATTTGGAAATAATTCTACTTTAAACTCTTTATTTTATCCATTTTACCCTTAATAAAAAAAATTTATAACCACACAATGCCATGGCCCTATAAAGCTTTTACCCCTTAAGCTCTTAAAATCACAAATTTTAAAAGTCTTCTTTTTTTTTCTTAAATTTCGTACCGAATCAAACTACCTCATCTAAATTGAAACGGAGGGAGTAATAAAGTTCCTACTAATAATTAATAAAGGTCGCAAGAAGTTATTTAGGATTATCCACGAGACGAACCACCGAAAGAGCCGGAAATGAAAAAGAAAACGAGATGAGCGGGTCCAGACATGCATAAAACTCTGGCAATATTAGTAAAGAATTTTTACACACAGAAGATTGAGATACGGGAGATTGTTGATTTACCTCCTGAGAAGAAGATTGTGGGATATCAAAGTATAAATAGTGATACACACTGAAATTCCAACCAAGTGAAGAATTCGTGAAAAACTCAATATTAGAACACTTAGTACTATTGCTCAAAATTGTTTTACATTTCCCGTACAAATACAAAAAAGAATCCCAAGCTTCTACTAGGAGACCAATAGCTAGCAAAATTTTGACGGAACCAAGTTAATGGATCCGATTAGAGCCACCACCAAAATAAGAAAAGTAAGGAAAAGTGAGTTACGTTGGACCAATTCAGTTATCCACTATTATTTGAGTGAACTTTAACTAGGTTGAATCATAATTCGTTTAATATATTTTGACCCGTCCAAATGTGATTCAACCCGTTCATTTGTCACCTATAGTTGAGAAGATGAAGAAAGTGGAACAGCGAGGTGGGTCGGTTTCTGGTCACCAGCCATGATAACGACGATCTTTGGAGTCATCTCCACACTACCACTTGTCTTGTGATCAGAATATGCAGATTTCTCGTCGTCAGTTGCCGTGGAAGACGACCGTTTACGATAGGAACAAACGAGGAAGAGAAGTGCCACGGCAATGAGTGTTAACGTTAATGCTAAACTTCCAAAAAGGTAAGGAAGTGGAGATCTCCAATGCAACAATGAAGTACTACCATTTGAGCTCATAGTACTACCATTGGAGATGGAGGTTGAGTTTGTGGCTACAGCCCTCATGATTATAATTTTCTCAGCTCTCTCTCTCTATATATGTTGAAACTGTGTTATAGCTGAAATAAAAATCTTGAATTGTGTTGAGTTTTATAGAGGTAGTACCAAACAACTTGCTGCTGTACAAGCACTGTGACAGTGTGACTTATATATAAAATTGCTAAAATGGCACTAGGCTTCAAAAAGATTCTCTTGTTGCTTTGCAAATTGCACGACAAAATTATAATTTTGTTTATTAAGTTATGATATTTCCAGGAAAGTAATTCTGGACCCTTTTGTTTTCGCTTTTCAAAAGGTAGATAAATTTCCGAGGGGCATGATTTTATTTAGTACCTTTTCATTGCTAGCTGCTACTGTTGTTTATTATTTTGTTCTTTAAAACCATATATTTGTGGAAGGAAGGGACGTTTTATTCATAACATGATTATATTGCAGGACAGGAGGAAAATAGTATTGGCACAAAGTGTTTGCAACTAACTAATACAAAAAGAGAGAACATGAACAAAATATTTTCAGAAAGTACTTCAAAAACCTTTTTTAAAAAAAAAATGGTAATGAGGCACTTTTTTTTATTGAAAGTCCTTTACTAAAAAAATGTAAGCAAGATCTTTGAAAATATTTTTAAAAAGTTTTATTATAAGCAAACAGATGTGGTCTTGGGGAATATACCACTTGAAAATAGGGCGTTTTTGTATTAAATAAACCAATGGAATTTTTTTGATAAGTAGTAATAAACCATTGGACTTTGGAAACACCATTGTCTTAAATGCAAAACCAAAAATATAGAATCTGAAGCAAGCTATTGAAGTTTGTCGAACTAGCTCGTAATTTAATTAGCTGTAAATGCGCCCTTGTAATCTTAGTTAATGTGGACAGAAGCTATCACAGCCACCAGACAGTTGATGATCCCAACAGTGTTCAAAAACCTTACGTCTAAATTCTAATTATAATGTTTCCCCCTTTTTCCAATTTCCACTTCAAAAACATTACGTTTTCGAGCCACCGCATCCCACCAACTCCATCATAGATGCTAATCATACATTTGGAGACTTGACGTCTAGGATTAAAATAAATTAAACGAAACATTCTCATATATTGATATTGTATATTTGATCAAGCATAAATATTTGATATTTATGTGATCATGTTTGTTTTCAAACGGATTCAAACGGCAAAGAATATTTGACACATATCTGTTTACCCGTAAAACGGTACAGTTAAATTTATATATGGTTTCTAGACAAATGAACTAATTTGATCCTGAAATAATGTAATAATTGAAGAAATACACAATACTTAGATGAAATAACAAAGATGATGATTCTGTGAATACGGTTTCCGAACACAGCAATGATGAGATCTAAAAGCAAGAAAATGAAATTGTATAAAGTTTTGTAATATAGAATATAGTATATGTTCTTGCCAGAAAATTCGTGTCCTTTACAACGGTAACTGAGCTCACTATTTATAGTTATGCTTGGGAAAAGAGGTCCTAGGATCGTGCCCTCCTTTAATGCCAATTATGAGGGTCATTGATGAAGATGTAACGTTGAGCATAAGTGTCAAATTCTCTGTAACGAACCGTCGCTCTTAATGCTGTAGAATATTCTTTAGTAAATGCTACCGGGCGCAGGACATTTAATACACTTTTATGAACGTTATTCGTTCCGGTGACAAGCGCAGTAGCTGCGTTCAGTCCTCAGCCATTCCATCTTGTATTCCACGTGTCCTCCTTTTAGTCAGTCATGTATCATATCATATTTTACCCTATACAGATAGTGCCTCTGCTTTCCGATGACATAACTTTGTGTTACCGGTAAGTTGGTAGAGACACCTTTTTGGCGGGAATTACTATAATTCCCTCCGAAGGTCTCTAATAGTTGATTAAATGCACGTCTCTCCGCATTTAATGCCTCGAACACGCGTCATCCCATGATTCAACCCAACTTTGGCCGATTATCGAGGTAATCATGGCCATGAATTTAGCCGCCAAAAGTTTCCTTATAAGCAACTTTTTTTCCTTAGCATTTCACAATTGCTTGAGCTTCTAATTTGCATCCTTGTTTTCCATCCTTTTTCTAACTTTCTCCAAACATAAACTTTTTACCTTATTCTTTTCCAATGGCTTATTCCTCCAAACGTAGTGGTACTACAAAGAATAAGAATAAAACCGAGTATTCCGTTCCTCCAACAGTGGATTCCATCATCCTAAGAATGCTTAGCACTTCGAAGGATTTTGAAGAGAAATTTTCTACTACTAACCCTCGTACATGGGCTGTTAGTAGGTACCCTTATTCCATTCGTCCTTCCAGTATTCCTGTTGTGAAGGAGGGTTGCCGCTACAATAAGTTGGAAATTATCGCTCTTGATCTATCGAAGCAAGTGACCCTTCCCAAGGAAGGTTTTACATAATTTTTCACGTATCTCTTTACTGTGGGTGCATTTTCTTTGAGCGGAGAGCTTGATTCCGTGATTGCGGAGTTTTGCCTTCGCTACCAGGTAAGTTTGTCACAGGTAAGTCCTTCAGTGTGGAGGACGATCACCTGCCTCCGACGCATGTGCCGAGAAACTGGAGAGGAGCTAACCTTTGCTCATGTGATGAATCTCTATTCCCCCAAAATCTTTCGCGGGGGAATGATAAACCTTTGCAAGCATGTCCATCATGCTTTGCTGTCTAGCATGGATGATGACAACAACCGTGGATGGATGGAATGGTTCGTTGCAGTTACCACCAACGACATCATTCTGACAATGACTTCATCCTTTCCGGTTGCTTGGAACCGCACTCGTAAGTTCTTTGTGTAATATTCTTCTTACCAGATATTCTTCTATGGCCGTATCATCTCTTCACGCTCCGTATGTTTCAACAACTCGATGGCTCCTACCGGTGGTGAAAGGTTTGAACTGGTGGGTTCAGAAGATTTTGGACGTCACAACGCCCGAAACTCGTTCGTGGAAAGAACTATCCCTTAAGTACGGGTGGAAGGCCAAAAATCATGGTAACTCTAATTTACCTTGCTTTCATTTTTGTATATGAAGAACTTGGTTGAACCCTTCTGACTTTGTTCGTGCAATTAGGTCTACCTGCAGGCTCTGTTGCTGTCCCCGATGAGGACGTTCTGGCTGATCCTGCTGATGCAACGAGGTTGCTTCAGGAAGCACTTACTCGAACAGGTATATCCGGGCCTGTTTCAGGTGCAAAAATTTTTTACGGAGTCCCCGGCCGGAGGATAAACAAACAAAGAGAAGACACTCTTCCGCGGTCGAGGAAAAGAATAAAGGGCAAAGACGGATGCCCACAAATCGTCTCCGGTTGCGATGAAGATTGGTCCTCCTTCTGGGCCGGTCGTAGACACCGTGATGATTGATGATGATGATGAAGTTGTTGATGAGGGATCTTCCTTACACAGAAGGCGACGATCCTCATCATCTCAACAGGATGCTCAACCTGTTAAGATAGTTGCACCAGCTGAAGACGACGTCTCAACACTTTGGGAAGAATCTGATTTAGTAGAATATGCCAACTCCCGCTTTTGGGCCCCAATTGCTGTAACCAGTGCTGCGAGGCTGAGTACCGGATCCCTGCCTTCTTTGGTTGGCAAGCATCAAACAACCAGCACTGCATTGGATGCAGCTGCTTCTCATTCTTCAACTCAATCATCTTCATCTCCACATTCACAACCACCAGCAACTGCTACATCATTTCTATCTTTGTCTACTCTTCCGCCAGCGGTTGCTACACCATCTCCATCGGCCGCACCTAAACATGGAGAAGGTGTTCCTCTTCCACAGTCCCTAGTTCATGGGATTTTGGGGCAAAATTATGTTGCTCCTTCTGAAGATCCACAAAGGAGGAGGAACATCACTCTTTCGCTCTCTATCGGGTGCAACCTTCTATCACGACCGGTGGAGCTTGCTAATTGCCTAAAGTCTTTGGCTTCAGAAAAAGACTGGGAAAAGATTCAGACACTCTCGGGAGAGTGTTTGTTGAACAGTGCTATTCATAATGCCGCAGTGGTACGTTCCTTCCTTCCTCTGTTATTTCTTCTACTTTGAACAAATGCATTCTAAAAATTACCTCTTCTTATTTTATAGGCCAACTTTCTTGCTTCTGAGGGCCTTCAAAGATTGATTCGCGAGAAGAAAGAACTTACTTTGAACGGGATCAGTTTTTGGCGGATTAGGACCAGACTATTCTCCGCCTCTCGAAACTGGAAACCAAAGCTGCTGAGGCCGTTATTTTAGAGGCTCATTTGCAGCAAAGCGAGCAAGAAGTGGTAAATCTTAGCCAAGAAATTGGGCCGCTGAGGATTAGATTTGATGAGGCCAAGGCCAAATGGGCAGATGTCTAGAATGCCGTTCTTGCTGCAATCGACCACGAGGCTGCCTCCGCTAAAAGAGTGATTAACTTGGAAGTAGCCTTGAACTCCAAAAGTGAAGAGCTTGGTGCAGTGGAGGCGAAACATGCCCAGCTGGAAGAGAAGTATAGGAAAACTATTGAGCATAATAGGCTCTTTAGTTCAACTGTCCGTGAGCTCAACGTCAGCCTCCAATCTGCTAGATCCGCCAGGGAAAACCTTTCCGCTGAGGTTACCTAACTCGAAGAAGATCTTAAGCGTCGAGCGGCTTCCCTCATTGTTGAAAAATATTATTCCATGTATAGCATGAGGAGAAAAACCTTGGAAGAGGCCAAAGCTGGCAGTGTGGCCGAGCGCCTATGATCGAGCCCAGCATGGCCGAGATACAGAGCCTAGTATGGCTGAGCACCTATGAGTGATCGTACTACAAACCTCGACGTGTGACAACTCTTTTAAAGGAGGTATTAAAAGAGAGAGTCGCCACCTAACGGATTAAGGTGCGTTAGGGCACCTATTTTGCAAATAACTCTGGATTAACCAGTTCGTGTCACCAAAGATCGGGTAAGGGCTCAAATTACCTCGAGGAGAAGGTGTTAGGCACTCCTCGAGGTCCACGACGGTGGGTCCCGGCGAAACTCGAATTATATGAATTAGTCTAAGCAAAAG